TCAAAAAAAAAAAAAAAAAGTAAAAAATGGGCTGAGCGCAGTAGCTCATCTGTAATCCCAGCACTTTGGGAGGCCAAGGTGAGAGGATTGCCTGAGCCCAGGAGTTTGAGACCAGCCTGGGAAACTTGGGGAGACCTTGTCTCTATAATAAATGGAAAAAATTAGCCAGTTGTGGTAGCGTGTGGCTGTAGTTCCAGGTACTTGGAAGGCTGAAGCGGAAGAATCACCTGAGCCCAGCAGGTTGAGGGTGTGGTGGCTATGAGCATGCCACTGCACTCCAGCTGGGTGACTGAGACTCTAACTCAAAAAAAAAAAAAAAAAAAGTAAAAAATGTTACAGAATGGCCGGGTGCAGTGGCTTACGCCTATAATCCCAGCACTTTGGGAGGCAGAGGTGAGAGGATTGCCTTAGCCCATGGATTCAAGACCAGCCTGGGCAACTTGGTGAGACCTTATGTCTACAATAAATCAAAAAATCAGCCTGGTGAGGTGGTGTGTGCCTGTAGTTCCAGCTACCTGGAAGGCGAGGCGGAAGGATCACCTGAGCCCACGAGGCTGCAGTGGCTGTGAGCGTGCCACTGTACTCCAGTCCGGGCGACAGAGTGAGACTCCAAGTAAAAAAAAAAAGTTACACAATGAATTTTCATACCAGTAGCTGATTATTTGGGATCTTCTGTCTACAAGAGCAGGAAGAGAACTATTTAGGTGGGCATGATGTACCAGTCAGAAAACCTGTTCCTGGGTAATAGAGTTCAGAATACACAAAGCACCTGTTCACCCAAGAGCCACAGCATTAACCACACTCCAAGTTTTTCATTTGGGTCTTTAAACCATTTGATGTTACAGCAAGCCATATGGTAGAGTACCTGACAAAGAGTAGATACTCAATAAACACTGTCACATTGGTCAAAGAATTCCTTCATTAACCAGGTTCCTAAGGAAAACTAAGACTTCAAAGATAAAGAAGAAACTGGAGGCAATAGAGCACCGCTATATTAAAATATTCCACATTATTTTTGTTGTTGTTTACTTGTTTCACCCCTCCAGTAGAATGTAGTAAGCTCAATGAGCAGGGACTATGCAGGGTTTATTTCAGCCAGGAATCTAAAACAGTAGTTCATTATTAATGTCTCTATAAATAATTTTTTAAATGAATGGTATAAGAATTAAGGAAACCCATGAGCTTTGAGGACAGACTTTAATTCAAATCCTGGCTTGTTGCTTAATAGTTGTATAACTTTAAAAGTTATTAAGTTTCTCTAATAATAGTACTTAGCTCAGAGGCTTTTGGGATTTTTTTTGGGGGGGGGTTGGAGTCTCACTCCACCACCCAGGCTGAAGTGCAGTGGCATGCTCACAGTCACCCCAGTGTCTACCCGCTGAGCTCCGGCAATCCTTCCATCTCAGCCTTCCAAGTAGCTGGAATGATATACTGTAGAGACGAGGACTCACCAAGTTGTCTAGGCTGGTCTCGAACCCCTAGGCTCAGGCAATCCCCTCACCTCAGCCTCCCAAAGTGCTGGGCTTGAGCCACCACAAGTGGCTCCGGTTTTTGTGAGTTTAAGAAGATAACGAATGTAGAGTGCTTATTACTTAGCAGATCACCATCTAACTATACTTACTGAGCATATACCACATACCAGACACTTCTAATGCTGAACGTGAACTCACTTAATTCTCACCATACCAAGGTGCTGTTACTAGTTCCACTTTTACAATCAAGGTGAATGACAGAGTGCTTAAAAGTTACACAGCAGAAATAGTTTTCAAACCCAGTGTGGCTCTAGAGTCCCGTCCTTAAGCAATATGCTGTAAGTCCACTCATTAAAAGCTCAAAATGTTAACTTTTGTAACATGATAATGGCTCTTATTAGGGGCGGTGAGAAGCTCCCACTCTGCGATGTCTACATTTCCAAAAGCTTTATCTATTAAGGAATAGCTGAGACGAGAGACATACCCAGTGAGGCGGTTTCGGATGATTTTGACGCTCATCACGGTCTCCCCCATGGTGGCAAAGGCTCTGGAGATGAAGTTCTCGTCCATGTAGGGTTCCAGCTGCGTAAAAACGAGAGCAGAGCGGCTCGGGCCGACGTCGTCTCCCCACTCCGGGTTCGAGCCCCTACCTCCAGCCCGGGCGGGCTACGCGCAGCTGGGTAAGGAGCGGAGAGATTTTCCTCCGCAGAGTGGTCTGAACTCCCGACTCCTTCATTCACACTCGCTCCCCCTTGGACCTTGGAAGCCCATCCTTCCATTCCTAGAACCACAGCGCCCCTCAATCCTTGGGGTTCCCCATCCTAAACCCCAGGCGCCCTCCTTTTCCCTTTCATGAACCCAGGTGGGGTCCCAGGGCCCCGCCCCCTCAGATCGGAGCTTTCGCTCAGAGGCTGGGACCCGCTTCACTGTCATCACTTCCACTCTTTTCGGATCCGAAGTCCCCTCCCCCTCAGACCCTTCCTCGCTCGCGACGCCGAGATCCGTCCTTCTCCTCAGACCCCGGGCGGCTGCCCTCACTCACGTCGCCCATCCACAGGCTGGCCGCCATGCCCGCGCACCCGGGTGGGACCTTGCGGGCCTCAGAGCCCCGCGCGGGGGCCAGTCTGCGCTGCGGGGCCCGCCACGGAGCATGCGCCTCTGACGCCTTCTGCGCACGCTCCGAAACTCAGCGGCGAGTCGCGCTCCGACGTCCCGCTCCAGGTTTTCCCGGCGACCCCGCGGGGCGCGGAGCTTCCGGCTCGCGATGGGCGGAGTTCGGGCCGGAGTCCCCGGAATGGGGCAGACACCACCGGGCGCAGGTGGCTTGCGCCGTAACTGGGTTTTTCGGGTTTATCTTTCACTTTATACATACAAAAAACAAGCAAAGCCACACACAGGTAATTAAATATACATATATAATTACAAAATTAATGCACGATTGTTGTAAAAAATTGCAGATATAAGCACTTAAAGGTAAAATGACCTCTTGGGGCGCCTGCACAATCCTGTTCCACACCTCTTGCCGCTAACTTAGGTAAACCACCAGTGCCCACCAGCCATCCCCTCATTCCGCGTTTACGTCTTTTTTTTTTTCTTAGTCGGAGTCTCACCAAGTCGCTGGAGTGCAGTGGCACGCTCACGGACACCGCAGCCTCGACTTGCTCAGGCGATCCTTCCGCCCCAGCCTTCCAAATAGCTGGACCCACAGGCGCGCGCCACCACACCCAGCTAAAGTTTTTTTTTAATAGTGGAGACGAGGTCTTTTTTCTTTCCGAGTAGGAGTCTCTGTCGCCCACGCTGGAGTGCAGCGGCACGCTCTTGTCTACCGCAGCCTGGATCTGCTGGGCTCAGGCGATCCTTCCGCTTCAGCCTTCCAAGTAGCTGGAGTTACAGGCGCATGCCAGCACGCCCGGTTTATTTCTTGATTTATTGTAGATACGAGGTCTCGCCCCGTTTCCCAGGCTGGTCTCCAACCCGTGGGTTCAGGCTATCCTCTCGCCTCCGCCTCCCAAAGTGCTGGGATTACAGGTGTGAGCCACTGCACCCAGCTCCAAAACAGACTTTTATTGTAGCTGAGTGGGGATCCTTCCCTGCATCCCAGACATGACCCTGGGGCAGGAGGGGACGATTAAGGAGAGTGTAAATTGGAGTAAATGTCACCTAGACAACCAGTCAATCCCCAAATCCTGTCGTTTTGTCACTCCTACCCTACTTCAACCAGGAGCTCCAACCTGTCCCAGAACAGTGACCATAGAAGGCCATCATAAACACACCTTGGATGCTAAATAATCATGACAGTTTAAGTTTGAGACGCTCCTACTCTGAGGATGTCCCACTTCTCAGAGAAGCTCCTGTACATGGTAATTGGTATTTTTTTTATAGTAAAGCTCACTCCAGTGCTTGAGAGTCCCATTCTGGGACTCCTGAAACCACCTCTATAAAATCAATATAGGGCCACAGGGTAAAAGCTGTAGAGAGACCTGAGCCCTGCAAAGTTGCAGCTGTGGTTAGAAGTGAACAAATCTTCCAGCGCATTGGGAGGTGGAGGTGAGAGGATTGCCTGAGTCTAGCCTGGGCAACTTGGAGAGACCTCACCTCTACAATAAATCAAAAAATTAGCCTGGCATGGTGGTGTGCACCCTGTGGTTCCAGCTACTTGGAAGGCTGAGATGGAAGGATCACCTGAGCCCAGCAGGTCGAGGCTGCAGTGACCATAAGTGTGCCACTGCACTCCAGCCTGGGTGACAAGACTCTAACTCAAAACAAAAAACAAAAACAAACCTGTTGTTGCTAAACCTGCTCTTCTCCTTGCATGATTGTGGACACAGCCACTTCGGTAGAAAGCAATTGATTATCTTAACATCCAGATCCCTGGAGAGGAGGAGAGCTGCCCACAGAGCTGATAAACATATTTTCCCACAAATAAGCTGGTGTGGTGGCTCACGCCTGTAATCCCAGCACTTTGGGAGGCTGAGGCAGGAGGACTGCTTGAGCCTAGGAGTTTGAGATCAGCCTAAGCAATGTAGCAATACCTCATCTCTACAAAAAAAAAAAAATAGTCAGATATGGCGGTGTGTGCCTATAGCTCCAGCTACTCAGGCAGCTGAGGCAAAAGGATTGCTTGAGTCCAGGATTTGGAGGCTATAATATGCTGTGATTCTGCCACTGCACTCCAGTCTGGGTAGAGAGTGAGACAGATTCAAACAACCCAAATGAGCCTAAGGCCACACAGATTTCCCTGATGGTATCCTGGTTTGATTGACCAAGGGATACAAGCAGCTCTAATATCCAGGGACCCACACCTCCAATATACCTTCCTCCTGAACTACCCCTAAGCCCAGGAGTCAGTGACCGATGGTCACAGGACTTGCCTTATAGACAGCATCTGTCATAAAGCTGAAGAGTAGTGCTTTTCAGACTTTGCACTCTGAAGTACCTGAGATCCCACCAGGGTCCCAGACACACACCCAGATGCTGACTTGCTGGCCCTGTGACCTCCTCCCAGAAATTGGCAGTGTGTGTCACTTCATCCCTACCCAGTCAGAAGCACCCACTCCCTAGCCACCTGGCCACCAAATTATTCCCTAAAAAACCCTAAAGTTATTGGGGAAATGGAATTGAATGATATCTCCCACTCTCCAAAATAGGCAGCCTCACATTTACTAAACCCTTTCACAATGGCAGCAACTGCTGTCAGTGTATATACAAGAACCTGGTCAGGATATAAGACTCCCTCTTCATGGGTACCAACCCTTGGTCCCAGATGGCTTGGCCTGTTAAGGAACTAGGCCACACAGCAGGAAGCGAGTGGTGGGCCAATGGAACTCTGCCTTCTGTCAGATCAGTGGTGGTATTCGATTCTCAGAAGTGTAAACCCTATTGTGAACTGCACATGCGAGGGATCTAGGTTGTGAACTCCTTATGAGAATCTAATGCCTGATTATCTCTCCCACCTCTCTGTGGAAAAATTGTCTTCTACAAAACCAGTGCCTGATGCCAAAAAAGTTGGAGACAGCTGCTCTAGGCTATTGGGTCCCTATTCTTTCCTTACCAGTCTATACATCCTAAATGATGTCATACCTCCAAGTCAAGAACTTATCAGTATGAAAACCTGAGGTTCAACCATGAGTTGCCAAATTCCTAGCTTTATTCTACTGTCACTGCAACAGTAGTGTAGTGGATAGGTGCTTTGGCTTGACTCAAACAAATGGAGCATGTCTTAGCCCCAAATAATTCTTTTAATGTTATTTAACCTCTGGGCCTAGTGTGGATAATGGAAGCACTTACCTCACAGAGGGTTGTGAGAAAAAAATAAGTTGGGAAAGCACTTGGCATTCAGTAAATTCTCCATCATGGCAGTTGGAGGTTTTCAAATGATAACTGATAGCTATTATTTTGTAATATTTGCCAGGCACTGTGCTGTGCTCTTTGCTTATTTTAAAATTGTATCCTGCCTGGTTACAATGAGAATATATGTAACTGAAAAAAAAGAAATATAAAAAAATTTTATCCTGGCTGGGTACAGTGGCTCATGCCTGTAATCCCAGCACTCTGGGAGGCACAGGTGACAGGACTGCCTGAGCCCAGTGGATTCAGATTAGCCTGGGCAACTTGTTGAGACCTTGTCTCTGTAATAAACCAAAAAAAAAAAAAAAATTAACTGGGTGTGGTGACACATGCCTGTATTTGGAAAGCTGAGGTGGAAGGATCACCTGAGCCCAGCAGGTCAAGGCTGCGGTGGCCGTGAGTGTGCCACTGCACCCCAGCCTGGGCGAGAGTGAGACTCCAACTCAAAAAAATAAAAGTTGGGCATGGTGGCTCATGCCTGTAATTCCAACACTTTGGGAGGCAGAGGCAAGAAGATTGCCTGAGACCACAGGTTTGAGACCAGCCTGGGCAACATGGTGAGACCTCATCTCTACAAAAAAAAAAAAAATTAGCTGGGTATGGTGGCACACACCTGTACTTCCAGCTACTTGAAGGGCTGAGGTGGAAGGATCACCTGAGCCCAGCAGGTCGAAACTGCGGTGGTCATGAGCAGTGTGCCACTGCACTCCAGCCTGGGTGAGAGTGAGATTTCTACTCAAAAAACAAAACAAAAACAAAAAACAAGCCGGGCTTGGTGGCTCAGCCTGTAATCCCATGCCTTTGGGAGGCTGAGTTGAGTGGATTGCCTGAGCCCGCGGGTTTGAGACCCACCTGGGCAGGCGAGACCTCATCTCTACAATAAA